GGACACTCCCATAAGTGATCAGTCCCCATCTTCAGCATAAGCGAAGAGTTCAAAATCCGATGGTACTAGTAACCGCCTGATTGTATATCCGCCTCATCCTTCCCCTGAGTGTTAAGCGTTGGCCATATCACTTGGTAACGCGTCGCAGCGCCATTCTCCTTAGACTGTAATGATCTACCTGTGCCTTCGCACTGTTCATTCGTTCCCAAAGGGCTCTCATAAAATCTAACTCATCATACATCAATTCACCACCAAGTAGTGCAGAGCCAGCCAGTCTATCTGCCTGCTCATTTCCTAACACACAGGCATAACCTGGAGGAAATATCCAAAGGATGCTAACTACCTGGAACCTCTGAAGTGATGCTTGCCACTCTGCACGAAGCTAATGGAATCCCGGCAAGGCTAATCTATTCATTGGTTCTAAAAATGTATTTACGTTCAGGCAAGAAACAGTTCCACATCTTTACTTAAAGTGACTTCAACATGAATGAAAATTCACTGTATGATGCATTTTATGTCCAACTTGCTTTATGTGTGCGACTTGTTAAAAAAAATGTAAACTAATACAAGCGAACATAACAATATTGTTACATCTTTTCCAATCCAGTTATCTATTGTATTTTTGTCTGTTGTCCAGTTGTGTTATGTATTTGTCATTTAAGGTGTTACATATCTGTTCAGCTGTATCATTTATTTGTCCAGCAGTGTCAGGTTTATATGCCCAGCTGTGCATATTTGTCCATGTACCCAGCTGCATCACATATATTTACAGCTGTCACATATTTGTCCATCTCTGGAACGTACGAGCTGTGTCACATATTTAATGGTACCACACATATACCCAGCTGTTATCATATATTTATTTTGCTGTATCACATATTTGCCCAGCAGTATCACACACTTATCCAGCTATCACCTATTTATCCAATGGTAAATTCATATGAAAAAAATGTGTCATGAATTTACCACATTTTTTCATATGGTAGTGAGCATACTTTGGATCTTTTCTCCAAGCCATGCCGGGGTAGTGGGTAATGAACAGGCAGACAGACTGGCTGGAACTGCACCACTGGGTGGTGAATTGATACATGACAAATCAGATGTGGTCATGGCCTTTTGGGAACAAGCAACGGAATTAGTAGAGAAACAAGATTATTATGGCCTGGAGAGAATGAGGCACCTGGGTGTAACCAGAGGGTCTGGCCAGCTCTCTACACTCAGAGCAAAGGAAAGAAGGACATATAACCAGATTGTGACCCGTACCAGCAGTATTAGAACTCTGCGCTGGCTGCTGAAGATGAGGACAGAGTATGCATGGGAATGCCTCAAGTGCTGTGATGTCAATTCTTGACTCAACTATCCAATAGTATCACACAGATCTCCAGCTGTATAACATATATGTTCATAAGTATAAAATATTTTGTCAACCTGCATCACAGATTTGTCCAGCGGTGTCCCATCTGTCAATCTGGGTCACTAGAGAAGCTAAATTGTGCACATACGCAAAGTTTGACGGTCAAGCTACTGTCTTAAAAGAAAATAACACAAGACTCTTTGTAAAGGTAGATGCCTGTCAACTGCTGTCATTTGAGATGTGAAGTGTTAGACCATCATTCTAGGCTTCAGCATATAAGGTGGGATGGCTTTCCCTAGTCTCTGAAGTGACTGTCCCCACTCTAACTGCAAGGCAGCTGGTTTATGTTTCTCTTAGGTAAAACGTGGACTATATACAGATGTCATGCAAAGAACCTCAACCACTTCCATACAGTCTAAGAAAAATAGTGCAAATCAAGTGGCAAGCCAGGATCCCAGATACTGTCATATTAGATAGAGCTGGAATTGGAACTCTTTGCTTGTTGTTGAAGATGGGGGACTGAGCACTTATGGGAGTGTCCCAAGTTCTGTGATGTCAATGCCTAATTCAACATTCAGACAGAGCTGGCATTTCCAACATCAATACCATCCTGATGCAGTCAGAGATTCATTGAGCAGGTCGCATCATCTGCTTGCTAGGCCATGTGCTACCAACAATAATCTTGTATGGTGAGATACAGGAAGGTAAAGGCTCTTATGGTGGCCAGAAAAAATGCTTCAAAGACATGCTAACGGCATCAGTTAAAGCCTTTAATATAGACCCTGGCACTTGGGAAGCTTTTTTTGTAGTATTAGAAGCGCTGGCATGCTTAAAAATAAAACAAGCGATGTCAACGCATTGCCGAAAACCCCCCAGCAGTGCGCAAAGGTCGGGGACTGGACATCGACCAATCAGAAGCGAGCTAGTGTGTAACGTGGGAATATTATCGTGGATCATACCATTTCATGATATGCGTGACTGCATTGGATACCTGGGTGACAGGAAGAGTGTGGAACATGTGTTGTGTGAAATTTACGGATTCCATGCGGATGGCCTGACCCATGTGAACTGACCGCTGTTGCCATGAGCTCATGGGATGCTTGTTAATGTTCTGTCACAGCTTTAGTCATGTGTAAGTTTCCTTCCCAGATGATTCACCAAAGATTCCAAGAATTGTTTTGTACCCCTTTTGATGAGGATGGGTCACAATGGTCAGAAATTACATAAACCTGCCTGCTGGGTGTTAAACCGACATCTTTGTCTTGGCAAACAAAGGCACTAACCACTATAACAAAAGCTGAGTTATGAGTTGAGAACTGCAGCATAGCACTCTGGACATTCCCATAAGCACCCTATCCCTATCTTCAGAAGCAAGCACAGAGTTTTAATTCTGATGGTACCAGTGACAGTCTGATTGTATGTCCATCTCGCTCCTCCCCACTGAGAGTTGATCATCGGCCAGATCCCCTGGGCACTCCTCGATGCACCATTCTCATCAGACCGTGCTGATCTGTGTGTGCCTCTGCACTTTATTCACTCCCAAAGGCTCTCTACAGCATCTAGCTTGTCATACATCAATTTACCACCAAGTGGTGCACAGCCAGCCAAACTACTTGCCTATTCATTTCCCAACACTCTAGCACACCCTAAGGAAAAATATCCGAGGAAACTAACTACCAGAGACCCTTGAGGCATCACCACATTTGGAGGAGGAAAATAAGAAACAGAAGCGGGAGAGGAATTTCATGAACAAGGGTTCTATTCATCATCACTCTGTTATACCATTATAAGTCACAAAGACCCGCCCTTCATTCTTTAAAGACCAATCGGCACTCAGTGGGTGATGTGGTCAAACGTACGCCAGCTGCCTTTACTTCCCAGGACAATTTCTTCCAGCCATTTCAGACTAGGTTGACTTAGGAAATATGTTTTAATTTTGAAAAACAAATCTGCCTCGATGTGGTTTTGAACCCTAGACATTTTGTTCAAGACACTGTTCTTAAGTAATGCAGAATGAGAGTATAATTAATACAGAACAATTTGCAATTAAAATAAATGTTATATTTTAGTCACATAAAGAGCTATGGTCATGGGAACACATATCATAAACACACCATGGAATTAACAAAGAAACTACTGATTGCTGGCAGCATACAATACCATTTATTATCCCTATCAAAACAAATACTACGGTGAGATGGGAAATACAAATTAAAATATGAATAACAACGAATGAGTCTTTTCTTAGTATTTCTAAATCTCATTCTGATAAAGTCACGTAATCACACAAAATATTTCCTGTAAATTATGATTATAAAGTCAATACTTCTATTTCTAAAAGGTGTTTACAAGCATAAGGCACAATATCACTCATGTGGTTGAGTCTTGCTGGGAAGACAACATCCCACAGTCCCTGACTGACAAAGGACTGGACTGGAACAAAGCCAGAAATAAAACTGCTGATAGAGACGTCTGGCGATCTCTCTGAGGTAAAAGAGGAGTGACTAAGTAAGTGGCTGAGTCTTTACAGAATTGCTTTCTACCCTACAATAGCAGAACACAAAGCACGAACTCCACAGCTCTAGCGAATATAACCACATGAATCTCCTAAACTCCTCTCTAGCGAATATAACCACAGGAATCTCCTAAACTCCTCTCTAGCGAATTTAACCACAGGAATCTCTTAAACTCCTAACGACCATAGTGAATGGGAGTTATAAATTGAACCCACGACCTTTAAAGCATGAGGCAAACATATTGACCACTGTGTCAAAAAAATTCCTTTTTAACTTATAGGTTGGAACACAGCATGACAGTTTTAGCAGAGCAGTGTTCTCTGTATCATTTTTGCCACAACAACCTACAAGGTAAGCCAGAGCTCTACTGCGGTTCCGTGTATCTACTATAAGGTTCTATTATGTTACATTACATTTCCATTGCTTACAAGCAGTCTTCTTCTCCTTCAGCCGTAAACTCTGGTGGAAGGTTCGGGTTGTCTGTCCACTTCTGGACTTTGGTCTTGTTCCAGAATTTGAGTTTTGCCTAGTGCACAACTGTTTTACAGATCTGGCTTCTTTTATGCAGACTGTTGGTTTCTTGCCTTTCAGGCAGATGCACTCTGACTCTGAAGCAAGCAAACCTAATTAGTAGCCTTTTACGACATGCTTGTTAGGGATCTATTATTCTGTCCCCAGTAGTGAATCTAGATATTCAACACTGTTCCCTTTTAACTGTTTTTGTCAATATGGGTTCACTTGAATAGTTTTCTTCTTCTTCTTCTGCTTCTGCTTCAGCATTCCGAGCCTTTGAGGATCACTGCGGCTTCTATTCATCTCTGTGAGTGGCATTCTCTTTCCATCAGATGACCAAGTATTTGTAGGTGTGCCTGCATATTATCTCTCCACCGTATTTTTTGTCTGCCTCTTGGTCTACTCCCATTCAACTCAGTGTAAGCAATTGTTGCTTCTCTATTAATTGCCACTTTTAGTTTTCTACAAATCTTTAACAAGTAGTCTGCTACCCCTGTTTTTTTTTTCATGGCAGTTACTACAGTCACTGTCTCCATTCAGACAACAAAAAAACATGTACAACGACAAGAGTTCATGATGATGACTCCAGCACACATAATCTTTTAAATTCTGAATCATTACACAAAATACTTTTTGTCCTGAAATGCATAATACAAAGCATCATGTTCTCGTACAATGTAACTAAGGGTTTTGAGATTGTAGAATTCAGAATTCATTTTAATGTTGTCTATAACATCTTCAAGCAGGTGTGCTCTCAGTGCGTCTGTCCCTGGGGCTTCAAACTTGACATGGGTGAAATGCACATGTAGATGATAATAGGAAGGTTGATAATGAAAGTAGATACGTAGTTTGTCAGCTTTCACGCTAAACTTTTCCTCAATAGCTGCCTGAAGAACAAGAAATACATACTGAGTTCGGACATCTAAAATAAATGTGAATATGATACATTCAATAAAATGACTTCTGGGTAACAGGCGAGTAACAGATAGACAGAGGGTGTAGCTGAAAACTGCAAAAAAGATAAATAAACCCTTCACTCATGCCTTCTGAAGAGCACAACACAAATACAGAAAACTAGAAAACTTGGCTACTACCTGGTAACAGGGTGATGAGAAAAGAAGAAGACAAAATTAAACTATATATTGAAAAATGCAGTTGTAAAACATTATTCTTATTCTTCAGCCCTCTGAGCCTTTGAGATTGGTTGCTGCAAATATCCCACACCTCCATTTATCTCTGTGGATGGCTTTCTCAATAAATCTATCTGATTTCAAGGCTTAGGTATCCATTTCCCTGATAAAATGAAGTTTTACAAAGATGGGAGCATCGACGCCATTATTCTGACTCCCTCATCATCATGTTAACCAAATGCAAACTCTTGTGGAAAGTTCTGCTTGTTCGTCCATTTCTGGACTTTAGTCCTGTACCAGTATTCAAGTTTTATATGCACATCTGTTTTACTGATCTGGCTCAGCTGTATGCAGACTACTGTTCCTTGCCTCTCAGGAAGATGCACTCTGACCTTGAAGGAATCCCTAATTAGTTGTCTCTTACAACATGCTTGTTAGGGCAGCAGTGGATCCATTCTTTGTTTTTCTCTCTCTAATGAGGACCCCAGAACTCAGACTGGGATTTCAGACTCCAAGCTGGAGGATCATGGTCTCTCTCTCTTTGCCTGTTCTCGGCCATCACAAATGTATGGCTTAAAAAGCCCTGCTGGCAGCTACGCTACAGCTGCCATCGCTCGAGGGTTATTGAGAAAGTCCAGTTTCCTATCAAACATAATGACAAACCATACTCTCAAAACTTTCCTATCTAATGAATGTCTTGTCTTTATATAGTTAATAAACTGCATTTATGATGCTGCCTACTGAAGTATTTGGATGTTGAATTGCCTCTTGCAACTCCAAGAGCATGTTAAAATAGTGAACTATCACCTCTCAATATTAAGCAAAAGGCTATCATATTCTCTCATTGTCCTCTTCTTTATTTCTATAAATACTTTAGCAAATATTTCTATTCGTCTTTTCTCCAAAAATCACAACTGTCTCTTTCTGATGTTTTATTTAAGCTGTCCATGTGTTCTTCTTCTTCGCATTCACCAGCTGTAAACTCTGGCAGGAAAAGTTTTGGTTGTTCGTCCACTTCTTAACTTTGATCTTGCTCCAGAGCTTTTTGAATTTAGCGTTCACATCCATTTTACAGATGTGACATCTGTATGTAGACTGCTGACTCCTCGTTTCTCAGGCAGACGCACCGTGACTTCCAAGGAAACACCCATAATTAGTCAACTTTCATCAAATGCTTGTTGGGGTGGCAGTGGGTCTATTTTTTTTCGTCCTAAAATGGGGTCCCTGAACCCACACAGGGAGTCTGATCAATATCCTGCTGGTCAGGTTGACCTAACAGGGCATGTCCTGGCAGCCATTTTTGACTTTCTTTATCTAGGTCAAATTTTAGTCAGTCAGTTTGTCACAGTTCCAACTTCTCTGCAAATGGGTCACCCAATAATTGTTCTGTTCTTGTGCCAGTGAATGTTGAATTAAAAATCGACATCACAGCACCCGTGACACTCCCATAAGTGCCACGTCCCCAACTTCAGCAGCAAGCAAAGAGTTCCAATTCCAATGGTACCAGTTACCGTCTGATTGTATGTCTGTCTCATTCTTTCCCTGAGTGTTGAATGTCAGCCAGATCCCCTGGTAACTCCTCACAGCGCCATTCTCCCCAGACCGCAATGATCTATCTGCGCCTCTGCACTGGTCACTCGCTCCCAAAGGGCCCTCACAATATCTAACTTGTCATACATTGCACCAGTGACAACCACATGGAATGCCTAAAACTACTGCAGTCAATTTTTAACAAATCCTACCTTAAGGGAAAAGGAGTCTTTACATTTTTTTTTAAAAACTTATTCTTTAAACTGCTACATGAATGTAGCTTTTTTCAATAATAAGCTTGGCTCTCAAGTTGACGCAGTCTAAATCAGGTACAGTCCTAGAAAGTAAAGGTGGTTGGTGTGATCGCCACATTACCCACAGAATACTGAATGGTCTACAAAATAGAGACCTAGCACTTTATGCCAAATACACTTAACGGCTTGGAAATGGGTCATTTAAACAATGTCAACCAAAAGTGACTTACCAGTCCTTTATTAAGAATGTTTTCCAAGAGAGGCAAATGTTCCTGCCTGAGATCCCGAATAGACCTAATGCCCCGACGGTGAACTATAGCAATGAGGTAGAGAGACTCAACATTTTCCCGATTCCACTTCATGTCAGGGACCATCACAAATCCAACCTCTGGGTCTGGATCCTCTGCCACAATCCTTTCTGACTCAGTCTTTTTCTCTAGAATATTGTATACCCACTGTGAGAAACAAAATCAACACTGCAGATTAGACCAGTGTTTCCCAAACTTTTCTTAGTTGCAGCACCCCTTTTTTTTTTCAATAAAGATTTTTCCACAGCGCCCTAACCTAAGTAAAAGTATGACTATTCGTATGTAAGAGATTTAAAATAAAAAACTGTATCTTCGAATATTTCCTTGTGAAGAGGTCGCAGCTCACCAGGGCACCAAGGCGCACAGTTTGGGAATCACGGGATTAGACTCATAGTTTCAAAGGTTATGTAACCATAGAAATTCTCCACAGAAATAAATCGTTTCGTTTGTAAGGATACTACACTGGTCTGGTTAGTAAGGATTACTCTCATAATACTAGACTGATTGTGTCTGTAAGGGTCACTTTCATATTACTCTGATTTGATTGTATCACTTTCATAACACTACACTAGTATGTCAAACCAATGTTTTCCCATAGTAGAAGATCAAACAATTGACTGCACAATTTATTGCCTGGCATATTTCTCCGATATTGTCAAAGGAAGCAAAAACAAGTAAAGTACAAATTCAACCACACCCAAAAGCAACTGCCTGCTTTAGCAAGATAAGCTCAGGTTTACTATCATGTCTTTTTGTTTACACAGTTATGGACTGGTAGCAAATAGTGGTGGCTTCAAGAAATATTTGAACACTCTCATTGGACAATATATGAAGAATTCAAAATGCATTGGAGTAATGCATAATGCCTCCATCACAGAGGATCTACAAATGTCAGTCTCCAATTTGGGACTGTAATCAGTGCCTCCATCACAAATGATCCACAAGGTCAATCTAAATTTCAGGCCTGTAGTCAGTATCTCCATCACATATGATCGACAATGTCAGTTTCCGATTTAGGCCTGTAATCAGTATCTCCATCACATATGAACCACAATGTCAGTTTCCATTTCAGGGCTCTAATCAGTGTCTCCATCACATATGATCCCCAATGTCAGTCTCCATTTCAGATCTGTAATAAGTATCTCACATATGATCCCCAATGTCAGTCTCCATTTCAGATCTGTAATAAGTATCTCACATATGATCCCCAATGTCAGTCTCCATTTCAGATTTGTAATAAGTATCTCACATATGAATCACAATGTCAGTCTCCATTTCAGGGCTGTTATCAGTGTCTCCGTCAGAAATAAAACCACAATGTCAGTCATAGCTCACTTTACTTAAAATCTCCAGCCCAATTTCTCACTAAAGTTCATCAGTGTGCACTAAAGTATTATTATCTCCAATTTTGCCTTCCCTTCTTGATTTTCTAGTGACCCATGGTAGGACAGAGATAGGACAGAGACCAACAATAGGAAAGCTATGCATGGGAATCTTTATTGAGTTCGACATTTTGTTTCACCTGGACTTGTACATCTAAACAGCTTGTGCCAAAATAATATTTTATCGACATTCTTTTTCTTCTTCACATTCACCAGCTTTAAACTCAGGCAGACAGTTCTTACTGTGTATTACCCACTGGACCTGTCAAGTTTCAGAACCTGAGTCATCATCATCATCAGGTCCCTTGCCGACTGACGTGGGCGATCATGTAAAAAAAGTAAAAACCCCATACGCCTGTAGGCGCATCAGGCATTTGGGCAGAGCGTCCCATATTTGTACAGACCAATCGGCACTCGGTGGGTAATGTGGTCAGCATTACGCCGGCCGTCTTTACTTCCCCAGGACAGCCATCCTGGTACCCATTTCAGGCTGGGTCGACCTCAACGTCTCGTACCACGATAAAAATCCACGCAGCCAGCTGTGGGTTTCGATCGTGGTACGTTGGATTACGAGTCGGACGCCGCGTGGGCGATCATGCCTCTCCATAATCTGCGATCTCCTGCAGCATGTATCAGTTTGTGTGCCGACACACCTCCATGCCATGCACCAAGACTGTCAAGCATCTTCTCTCGTTGTCTTCCTCTATCTCTCCTTCCACATATCTTTCCAGTGGTCACAACATGTTCTATTTTCCCTCTTCTCATAACATAGCCGAAAAATGATGACTGTCTCCTTCTGATGTCTGTGATAAGTTGTCTTCGGGCTCCCGCCTCTTTCAAAACCACTTGGTTGCTCTTTTTGGCTGTCCAAGGTATTCTAAGCATTCTTCTGTAAAACCACATCTCCGAGGCCTCCAGAAATTGTTTGGCCTGCCTACCGATTGTCCAGGATTCACATCCATATGTTAAAACTGGATGTATGTAGCAAGGAAGAATTCTTTTTCTAACTCTCAATGACAAGGATATATTGCACAAGATGTTTTTCATTTTATAAAATGCAGTTTTTGCCTGTCCTATTCTGTTTCTTATCTCAGTTATGCATCTTCCATCTGATGTTATCCATGTGCCCAGATACTTAAATTTCTGTACTTGTCCTAAAATAACACCATCAACTTTTATTACACATTTAGGAATAATTCGTTTCTTTGATACCACCATTACTTCTGTCTTCCCATTATTCAAACTGAGGCCCATTCTCTCTTTCTAACACCACAATGTCTATCATTTCCTGTAGTTCTTTCTGACTTGTTGCTATCAAGACTGTGTCATCAGCATAACGTAAATTGTTTATATTGTGCCCAACAACCACAATTCCAGGCATATCAATTAAAGATCTCATTATATATTCACTGTATATTGAAAACAAATCAGGTGACAGTACACATCCTTGTCGTACGCCCCTCTTTATGCTTTGAAATGTACCTAAACAGTTGTTAATTCTTATAGCCGCTGTTTGCTGCCAATACATATTCTTTATTATTCGTAGATCTTTCCCATCAATGTTTAATTTTTCTAACAGTTTGATTACTTCTTCATGCTTCACACAGTCATTTGCTTTTGTATAGTCTATGAACCTGAGTACTGTGTGCAAATCAATTTTACAGATGTGGCTTATTTGTATGCAGACTGTTGGTTCCTTACCTCTCAGGTAGATGTACTCAGACTTCAGAGGAAACTTCCAATTAGTCAACTCTTATGACATGCCTCTTCAGCAGGCGGTGGTTCTATTCTCGTTTTCACCACAATGAAATCACAGAACCCGAACAGGGACGTTATCACCATGAAAGTGGACAACAGGCGAAAGACTGTGTTTTTCTAAGCTGAGGATTAATGATTACATCCCAAATCAGTCCTAATCTCTATATGACCTCAACAATAGCTCAGAAGTGCCAAAATAAGACCAGGAAGACGGGAAAATGTCACCTGAAAACTAAACTTGTTCTCCTGGATGGAAGGCAACACAACACTTCTGTATAATTCAGGTGTTTCCCGGACGATGAAGGGCTCGCGGTCTGAGTACTTTGAAATGTGTTTCTCAGTGGCAGGATGAATCAATGTTGCTTTCATATCTTCAAAATAAAACATGTTACTTAGTGCGTAGTGAAACTCTAATAATAAAGTATTCAAGTCTGAAATATTCTAACATGATTCTAACCACAGAAAACAGATCACTTTAACCTGTTCACCCCCCTCCCAACCCCCCCCCCCCCCTTTTACACATCTTAAAATAAGAATCACTTTATTTTTCAGAAACTAAAAAAAAGAAAAGTTAGTCACACATGCTTTGCAGGAGGGACGTTGCAGAACCAACCCTAGAATTGTGTAGCTGTTGTGGTTTTTCTAGGCAAGTTTATGTCCAGTAGTTTGTCACTGCTTTCTGGATACCACTGCCGAAACCAACGCATGACCCACAGCTGGGATCGAACCCGGCACTTCAGCATATCAAAGCGCATTCGCAACGCCTAAGCCACAGACTGTAAACATGCATTCCTATAATTTTTGAAACACTACTGTAAGAAACTAGAAGAGGAGAAGCATTGGAAATTTGGAGGCTTAGTCAGTTTTTATATATACCCAGGGGATCAAACTCTAGACCTCTGAGCAGACTAAATAATAAATCGCTGAATACAAACTCTGCAAGCATTACCTGATTTTCTGTCCCTTTTATTTACCATTTAGAAGTGGTGAAATTATATAAATGTCACAGTGACATCACAGTTGTTATATATATATTTTTTTTCACCCTTTTTGTCTGTTTAAAAAAAAACCTGAAGGATGGGGGGGGGGGGGTATGTAAATTAAAAAATAACCACCATATCTACACATAATGCAGTTGCAGCCAGTAGCAAAGCTACTGATGTCCAAGGACATCATGTCAACCAAAAATCAGTAAAAAGTAGCTTTTTCAGGACAAGAGGGTAGTGGGCTGTGTGTCATACAATAAAGTATAGAATAGGTCATATTTCATGGAAACAAAAACAGTCTAATGCATTCATACTAGAGACAACATTGCAGATACAGATCATCTATTTCAAGCAGTAAATGAAGAAGTCTAATGCAGAGGTTCTGAGGGTTATACAAATGAGAAGAGAGTTGCTGAAAGAAATAAAGAGACAGCTGGGATACTCTGGCCACATTAAAAGACATAACACGCTTTTGAAGACCATACTTGAGGGAAAAGTCTAGGACAGGAAAGCAAGAGGTGGGCAACGATACAAGTGCGAGGACAATATCAAGAGATGGACAGGCAGCAGTCTGAGAGAGTGTACAACCAGAGCGTGTTGGAGATGCATAGAAGCCAACCTTTACTGTGGAGACGGCACCTGACTGATTGATGATAATAAAGCACATCTTATATCTGACATGATGTGCTAGTTGATTCTTGGCTGGATTTATGAAACCCCATGCAAAAACCTGTGCCACATAACCTCAGCATGCACCACAGATCTACATTCCAGAACCAGAGTATCATCTCAGCTGAGCATTGGGTGAAGTGAAGCCTACTTGTGTAATGGAGAAGGTCCTTGTGTCGCTCTGATCTGGATGAGCTTAGTGCAGTTTATTATTATTGGATGCAATAGATGTGGATGGTGCCACCACAGTGTCCATGAAATGTGTCTAAAAACAAAGGCTTATCTCAGTCGATAAATTATGGGGAAAAGTTGGATGTGCTGGCCAAAAGTGGTAAACATCACAACTCAAAAGATACTGCTTTGTACACCAGTCTGGTAATCTGGTAATCCTAGTTTCAGCTTCATAGCAAACGGGTCACCACACAGTTGCTCCGCTCCTGTGCCAACAACAACAACAACAAAAAACGCAGCTCACAGTGTCACACCATGGACTCAACTCAGAAGCTGGGCGACGAAACTACATCCTTCCAGTCTACAAATGGAGCAAAAATGCAACAGCCACCATCTGGCAGAAAAAAAAAAATTTGCCACTGCTTAAAAAAAAAAAAAAGGTAGCCATGCCTGGCGCACATTTTGACCGGAAGCATTATATGAGGGTTAATAAACGGTCACCCCAGCAGTACCCTCATTATTAGCTGGGGAAGGGACTTGGGACATTACATCCACCAGCAGGCGTCGCCCCTACGACCTGCCTGCCATCGTTAACGACTGTTCACCCAACAGCCATGCAGTTCTTTGGCACGAAGGAGACACCTTGAACTTGGGTTTCGGACTGCCGACTCCCTACTAAGATATTATTTTATGTTTTGTTATCACAATTGATGTCACTGCACATTGGGCATACCCATGCGTGCTCAGTTCTCCGAAGCAGCAGCCACTCCAAAGTACTTCTACTAATTGTCCCCATAAGAAGCTGGTTATATTGTCTCCTTTCTCGGCCTCGAAGACGGCAAAGACATGCATCACCATGCTTAACTCCCTGTCGAGCTTTCGAGCCACGCAACATTACAGACGATAATATAGAGATGGCGGGTAAACCACGCGCTCCGATGCAGATTAGCCATAGTATTCTTCCGATTAAACTCACCACTGAGCGTATCCCCCGGGGACACTTCTTTACATGTCAAAGGTCGCTATTATCGTCACACCAGTCTAGTCTCCAATTTGGCTAGAACCGATGTTGAGCTGAAATATTGGCTCTCCTTTGAACTTCTACCCCATATTATGGAGGCCAAACAAATACCCTAACAGGGCCTCAGTCCTATGCAAAATGCGGAGTTCCTGCCAAGGAACAAATCGCGGCAAAACTAGGATCTGCTCCGAATAACGAAACAAATGCTCTAACAGGGTCTCAGCGATATGTTAATTGCGGACCTTTTTCTGCGACTATGCCTCACTGCTGACAGTATTCCCCATGCCGCTACGCGCGACAGGATAGGGGGCTAAACTAGATGGCTGGGACTCATGAGCAGCAGCTACAGCACCTGCAACTTCCTCCAATTTATTTGCTCGTGAGTCTCAGGTATCTAGTTTAGATCCCCGGGGGATACGCTCAGTGGTGAGTTTAATCGAAAGAACACTATGGCTAATCTGCATCGGAGCGGTGGTTTGCCCGCCATCTCCATATTATCATCTGTAATGTTGCGTGGCTCGAAGCTCGAAATTGTCAAAGGTCGCTATTATCGTTGCTACTATTGCCTGCAGTGTTGCGTGTCGTGACATTGTCAAGTAATCCTAGTTTTGCCGCTATATGTTCGTCGAAGGAAGTCCGCACGACTTACACACGACTGAGGCCTTGTTAGGGTATTTGTTGGCCGCCATAATATAAAGTAGAAGTTCGAAGGAGAGCCGAAATATTTAGTAAATTTAAAATATTATTGATTCCAGTAATTTTAATATTGCAGTAGACTGAAAAATTGTGACTGTCAGTATTGTAGAGCACTGCATATATGATATTGCCAGATTAAAAAAAACCTCTTAACTTTTAATGTTTGGTACTGTGTGTGTGTGTGTGTTTGTGAGCGGAGGGGGGCAGTAATATATATACATATAAAGTGACACAGATGTGTGTATTTACAGTAATTTTCCTGCAGGTGTTACTCTCAATTTACTACCCATGATTTACTCTGTGAGGTGTGGTAGGGTTAAAAGACAAATACATACGTGCAATGCTCCCGCTAGAGTAAACATCAAAGGTGCTGTAGACATCGTTTTGTAACGTTTCTTTAACCGTAGTCTGCTGTAAGCACTCTTCCAATACTGGTATATCAAATGCTTTTCGTTCAAGCACGACAACTGCATCTTTATCACCAACAGTCCCGTGCAAAGTTACCAACTTCCCCCGTGCATCTTCGCGTAAAACTTTCACAAGCTTGAAATCACTGAAAGCGAAAGAAAAAGGGACGACCGCAGACGACGAATCACCGTCTTTCTCTGCTTCGTTGCATTCATTGTCACATTTCCTTTTCTTACATACTGGAACACTATCATCAAGTGGTTGGGTGCTGATATTGTTCATCTTTTCTAACATTAAATAAATATGCTAGAACTATGAAATTAAATAATAATCAACACAGCGCCAACAGCAACAGAGCCCAATTGTGGAATTTAATTTTGTCAAAGAGTGACGTGACTGACCTCCCTTTGTGAACTTCGTGCTTCGTGGAGTTGGTTCTTATCTTCCTCTTCTTTTTTCTTCTTTTCTTTACTCCTGGAATGCCTCGCGGCGTCAGGGGAGGAAAGATGATGAGATTGGTGCAGTTGGGAGTGACGAGAGGTTCTGGCAGATGCTCGAGGCTTAGGGGAAAGGCAAGATGGGAGTTAAATCAGAATGCTACTGGCACCATTAGTATCGGAGCTCTTCGCTGGCTGCTGAAGATGGGGACGGAGCGCTTATGGGAATGCCCCGAGGGCTGAGATGTCGGTTCTTGAATCAGATCAAATAAAATGAAATCAATCAAACGCTGTGCCCTTGTTGAAATGTTAATTTCATACAGCTCAAATTTGCATGCTCGTGTTTATGAGTCTGGATAGGGATGTTCTGTTTATATTATCACAATTCTGCATTACTGCTTATTGGTCATTCCCAGTTTACATTCTCAGCCTGCCAATGCGGTAGCCACCCTAGGGTACATATCCGGATTGATCTTTTGAGTAGTTGATTATAATGTCCACTGACTTGACGATGGGCTTCACTCCCAGGTCATGCAATCCTATTATTGTCATTGATGCATTACTGTCTGTCAGTCTAGCCGGTAAAACATTGATGATCTTTTGTAGCATGCTCATTGAGTGCTGATGCAACTCTTGTAATTCTATTCCTTAAGGAGTTAATCCTATAGATTGCAATTCTAGAAGAGAACATTGACCTCTTCTTACCTCTTACATTATGAGGCAGCATTTTTTTTACGGCCCACATGGACTTTTCCGCGGCCCATAGGTTAAAGAACCCTGACCAGAATGAGTAATCTAAATATTTTTTTGTCAGTTGAATCGCGAAAAAAAAAAAAAAAAGAATTCTTAAAAGCTATATAAATACTTTCTTGATAAACGGAGGGGAATCAGGGCAGTTGGTAAATTAATGAAAACTTATTCTGAAGCTGCGGAGATGTGGTTTGATAGACGAATGAATGAAAATAACATGGACAGATAAAAAAGTTTAATGAAGATGTCTTGAAAGAAACTGAATCACGAAGAGAACTGATTGCCCACTTTAGAAAGAGAAAATCTACATTCTTTGGTCCTGTGATGAGAAGGAGAAAAGTGGAGTACATCGTGACAGTAGGAAAGCTGCAGGGGAAGAGAGTTAGAGGAAGACCGAGAGAACTAGACAGTTTGACATCATGGCATGAAGGATCATCTGTGTCAGAGGTTATTGAAAGTACACGAAATAGAAGGTTATGGATATACATGGACTTTAGGAAAAAGAAATGTTTTGTAGAGGCTAAAGCACAAAGAAAACCTACCTCAAATCCAGCAGTCTGATTGCATATTCGTTTTACATTTCCCTTAAGTGCTAATTGTCTTCTTAGTACACTCCTCGCAGTACATATTCTGTTTAGATATACTTTTCGTTCGAGTTTTTATATTTTTCCATTATATTCTTTTCAGACCATGATGATCCAACTGTGCTTTCGCACAGTTCAATCCCCCAACCCCTCCCCCCCAAAGGGCCCTTACAACATTTAGCTTGTCATGTATTATTGACCACCAAGTTGTGCAGAAGCAGCCAGTCTATCCCTCTGTTAATTGCCTTCTACACCGGCATATCCTGGGGAAAATATCCAAATTGTTCTAACTATTAAGTCTTCAAAAGGTGCCGGTACTCACCAGTAGATGTCTATTAATTTAGCTCCGAGAATATTTTACCTAAAATGTGCCTACTGTTGCGCCCCGCAAGGGGAAAAAACAGCTTTGTTTATATGTGTTACATATAACAGTTATTAATACAGAAAGATATGGAATGAAATGCGGTGAAAATATATCGAATCTAAGGACCCTATTTATTTTGAATGCATTTGATGCTGAGGTATGGAAAATTTCCTTTCCAGTGTGGGACGAATTTTTAGTTATTTTAAAGCCCCGCCCTGGTTGTTGCTGGGGGTCTTAACGGTTGAACGAGCTTTCCGGGACCTTTCAACGGGTTATTCTCATCCGAATGGTGGCACTTTGTGTCACCGGGTGTTTATCGCTTGGTAGATGTGCTGGTGGTGTCCAAAGTCATTCAGTCAGATGGTGAGGTAATACTTATACTGACCGAACTTGTCAGGCGTTTCTTTTATTTGGGAGGGTGGAAACCGTAAAGTACCTTTTACTTTATTAATATTTGTGATAACGTAAGCTTCTTTAACAGTTGCCCTTTTCTATAGTAAATACACGCAAACACATTTGTTACAAATAGCATACAGAAAGTTCTAATCGTAGGGATGTACAGTTCAGATTCCAGATTACGTTACCTTTTCTCTTGTCATTAACAAGACATAACATTTCTTTACGTATATAAATTTTATAAAAACTGATAAATTATACATTCGTCTGAATAATACAATTATTAGTTATTAATAATTTAGAACAATAAAATATTAGGTTATTTTGAAATGCAGCTAAGCCTTCCCGTCGAGTTTTCAACCTATTTATATAGATCCTGCCAAGAATGTGAACTCTTGTGTGCTGAGGTCACGATAATAATTCACCGTTTTCACGGCGGCTTCAGCAGAAGGCAGCACTGAGGACATTTCCAACTGAGGTTTAATCATTTTCTACACAATATTTACTGACATTCTCAAGGTGTTTTTGGATTAACTTCTCCAACCGACAACGGCGGTAAAAGAACTGCTCAAATGACAGAGTATAAACTGGTTGTAGTTGGAGGTAAGAAGAAGTTAAGTGTTCTGTTTGGATTGATAATTTGAGGTCCCGCTTGTATGAAAATCAACAGAAAGAAATGCATGGTTGGGTGATCGCTGTTGGGTAGTTTTTTTTAAAAAAAAGTCGTCGGTGCAAATTGATAAATATGTTTTATCAATGATACATTTATTGAGCTGCTGGATATAAGAGGTTCAGTTTGATTGCTGAAAGTAATAATAAGGTACTTTCTTAATTATTAGCTAATTTATTAGCCGACCAAAAATCCACAGGTCATGGGACAGATTAAGCGTATAGTTTTGGTTAGGTTTAGGGTTAGCGTAAAATTTAGGTAAGCCACGGCCTTGGAAGAAACGCCCTAAAGTAAAGTACAGAAAACACGCTCTTACCACCCACTAAAATATTGGGCTGTTCCTTGACGTCATTTATGGTCAGTAAAAAAAAAGCACCAATAATTATATTAAAATGTTAAATTAAGAATCTACAATATAGCACTCAGGGCACTCCCAAAAGTGCTATGTCCCCATCTTCAGCATTAAATGAAGAGTTATAGTTGCGATAGTACTAATAACTGTCTGATTGTACATCCATCTTGCATTTTCCTTGAGTGTTAAATTATACTAAAGAATAGTACCCTTTAGGAAAACATGATTTTTCAAACTGTGATTTGGTTAAATTAAAATTGTGGGCCGTCTCCACAGTCCGATGAATATTGGTTGAGGTTTCAGTGCGATTTTCATACTGTCACCCATCAAAACCATGAGAATGAGGTTCTCTATTAAACAGTTATAAAATAAACCACCTGCTGCTGGCACTGGGAGCCGTGGTGGTGTAGCGGCTAGATGCTTGCCTGCGGATCCAAAGATTGTTGATTCAGGTCCTAAGGCAGCCAGGTTTTTCAGAAATGACCTTGGCCCCCCGGTTGACCCAGCCCTACATGGGCATCGGGTAAAGTTATGGGAAGTAAAGGTGACCGGTTTGATGTTGACCGTCACCAACCGAGTATCGACTGGTCTATATTATATAGGTCTATATACCCATTACACCTGAGTGCGTGGACAAAAATGGTTTACTTATATATCCTCCTGTAATGTTGAAGCAACCAGTTACTAGTGTACAGTGATGCTTACTGCACACATTCTCTTAACAGCGAAGCGGCAAGAAGGACAATTTCACCCTCACCAGTGTAATTGTCACCTGCTAACACTTACACATGTGAATTGATCACACATCCTTAACACTTTCAGCACCAAGCATGGGTCACTGTAACTCATTTTCTTTTAAATTGTTGTTACTTTATGTTATAAGTGGTTTAGGTGTGAAGGAAAAAAAGTAGCATTACTGGCCTGAAAGAGTTAAAAGTATTAACTGGACAAAGTCAGCTGGTGAAGTGCCTGGATCAGTGATAAGGAGTTAAGAAAATTATATTGTGTCAGTTAAAATCAACATACGCGTAGAGGGTTTCTTCTGACTGAATAAGGTCAGGTTTTTTTCTTCAGGCGGTGTGCATTACCAGCATCTTTTATTTAATTCTTTCAGTCCCAAGAGGTTTAGCATCAGAGATGCAAGGGGTGGTAAAGAAAGAATAAAATCAGCGCATTTTGCGTTCATTGGGCTTGTAGGTTTGAACCTGTGAACATATGATGTGTTCCTTGGGAGCTTAAGGCATCAATTTGTCAGTGCTTCTTTAATAAATAGACACTTTGTGATGAATACCTTTTAATACTCTTTGTGATGAGTACCTGCACCTTTTGTTCTAGAAACAAAAATCCAATCTGGGTAAATTGCATCTACAGCTTATACGGTTAGTTTATATGCCAGTTCTAGCCAATATAATAATGTTTATTTTAATAATATAAATAATTGGAAAAAATGTACTATACGACAGTTGCCTCAAGCATCATATGAAGATCAATACTGAAAAGACAGAAGTCATGAGCATAAGTAGAGAGCAACAGACCATCGACATAAAGATTCTAGATCACAGCCTAAAACAAGTGCAAGAATTTAAATACTTGGGAAGTATCTTTACATCCATTGGTAAAATAGACAGAGAGATCGAAGCAAGAATCCAACAAGCCAACAATGTCGCATACCAGCTTGCCCCAATTTTAAAACACCCTGCTGTCCCAGCTGAGATAAAAAGACAAATTATAAATACAATCTTTATACCGACATTAGGTTATCAATGTCAGACTTGGACATTAACAAAAGAACACGAGAGAAGACTAACCACCTGTGAAATGAGATGTTTGAGAATGGCTGCGAATAAAACCAGAAGAGATAGAGTGAGAAATGATGTGATTACAAGAACTATTGGAACCATACCCATCGTTAAATTTATTGAGAAGCAAAGAATGAAATGGTTTGGTCACCTAATGAGAATGGAACCAACGATGCCAGCATCAAGAGCATACAACATGAAAATCGAAACACCAAGAGGCAGGGGAAGACCAAGAAGAAGATGGATTGAAGGAGTCACGGACAACTTGAGACTTCATAACATCACGGCATATAAGGCGACTGAGCGCGCCCTGGCTCGGTTGCCGATCATCTGATAGACTGCGACGCCTAGCGGCACAAGCAGATTTTGACAAAAGAAAGAAAGGAAAAAATGTGCTGACTCCATATTTGTACATCCTAACGCTCTTAAATCACTGTACCATTTTGCTTTGTGAACTGTTCAGATCGAAAACCTAGCAGCCATTATGTCTCTGTATCGATATTGAAGTCATCATCAATTAGCAAGTCCTTTACAGAACGTCGCTCTCCTCATGGCACGCCTGAAAGTATCCCTTTCCCTAGCTCTCACTGCCAATGCACCTTAAATTTCCTGTATCCATCTTCGCGGAGGTCGACCCCTGCCTCGCTTTCTACAACCTTCACCCTCTAGCGCCATCTTTTCCAAGCCACCACCACATTTGATGTGGCCAAAATACTTTCAACTTTCGGGACAGAATGCTGTTTATGAACTTGTTTTCCTCAATGTTTAACTTGGGTCGAATGTTGATTTTTTACTCTTCTTGATCCATGATATTCTAAGAATATGTCCGTAACATTTTGATTCAAAAGCTCCAGTCTTTTCATATTGAGTATAAATAAATATTTTTGAAATATTGTGTCATGTGATCACATTAATGTGCAAAATATTGTCCACTGGTATGTATGCATGTACTAATGAATTCACGTTGGTCCTCAACATTGCTGTTGGGTGCTGTAAAAACAGATCTATGTCCAAGTATTTGCTGACTCGCTGTCCAATTATGTTCAACGCATTCAGGAATGTAATCCATCACCTGTTATTTGGAAACATTAGGGAAGTGTTTGATATTGCTTATTCTTCTAAAAAGGTTTGTTTTTATACTGTAATATGGTGGGAGAGGCTTTTGCTATTTTGTCTATGCTGACTTCAGGGTCAGGAAAGGAGACATTATAACCTACTTTATATGGAAACGACTAGCAGAGGTGCCTCTTCGTCAATGGTGAGGCATTATGAGACGACTGTAATTGCCGCTTCCACTTCTAACTGCCAAAGAAGAAGGGATTATTTTACTATTTGTTGTTACTGTTTACTATTTATTACAAATACGCTATTTGGTTTACATCTCAAGCGTAGTGAAAAGAATTATTCCCGCACGCTTTCACCACTCATGTAGAAACTCTACCATGCGAAAGCTACCAGTTACTAGTACAGCTATGTGCACTACGAGGAAGCAAGTTTCACCCTCTCCAGTGTAATTTTTACTTGTTATCATTACCTGCTAAGGCTCACACATGTGAATTGAATTGATCACATCTCTCTACTGCTTTGGATGGCTGCCAAGCTGGAAAAACGAGCATGTATTAAGATGAGTTACTGATTCACAGTTTGACTATCTGTGTAGCCAGACCAGTCGAACATGCTTCACATCCTTCTTCAAGTCCAGGAGATCTGTTTAGTACTGTGATGGCCAAACCTTGTTAGGTCTGAAGGCTAGTTTTCACTTCAGAAATCACAAGCAGTCTACCTTTTTTTTTAGCGTTTAGCTCGCTAGAGGGAAACAGTTTTTGACAGAGACGTTTGACGCTGACCACCACGGGAAGCCCCTCATAGGACTTGCCAGTCAACTAGAAGATGGCAGTCAGCATGTTGGTCCGAAATGGCTCATTAGATCACATTTGTTTTGGTTAATTTGACATTGGTATTTTATGGGTCACCATTTATGGTAGATGTAATGAGGAACTGGCTGAAGCATTCTTGCTATTTATCTGTTCTGTTGCAAAGTGACTAGTGTGACCATAATATCCTGAACTGAAAAACGGGACATCCAATTCATATTTGAAGCTGAAAACAGGTCATCCCAAGCGTCAGTTTAACCATGCCCCCATGTTTTCTAGGTCACAATTTGCTTGACACTAATATTAAAAGAAGCATTGTTGCCAAGAAATACTTGAAACAAAATGCTATTTAACTGCATCGACGGAAAAAAGACAGACACAAAAACCTGCTAAAATAAAAATTTCCATTAACACATTTCATGCATTTAAAGTATCGAAATCATTGAATCTGATAAGGTCTATAGATATAAGTGTATTTTCTATTCTCTAGCTAATTCTTAAGGAAAGGGGGGGGGGGGGAGAAGAGGGAATAGACCCACTGCCACCTGGCAAACATGTACTGTACTTAACTTTTCTGACATACTTGCCAGGCAGAAGTGGGTCTATTCAATGTGGGTCTCTCTACTATGTCATGGGATGTCAGATGGGTCTCTATACTATGTCCTGGGATGTCTGTCAGTGTGCCCAGTGTGCTGTTGACCACATAATCAGTTCAGTGCTAATTGGTTTCTATAGAAATATGTGCCTAGCATCATGTGCCTGATGCCCTGCTGGCATGATGAGGCCCTGTTGTGGCGGAAGGAGGAGGGGGGGGGGGAGGGAATAGACTCACTGCCTCTGGCAAGCATGTCGGAAAAGTAAAGTACAGTGCACACCACTTAACAAGATCTTGGATGTGGTGAATTTCT